GGCAGCTCACCAGCTGCCCCGGGTGCCTCCGAACCGCCCTGCCCGGTGCTCCGACACAGCTCAGCTCTCCACCTGCCAACAAGCGCAACGTGTCCCAAGGAGGAGCTGGAGGCAGCAGCAGCCTCGGCACCAGGCAAGAACCACCCTGCATCCTCCGACTCCTGCTGTCCTTCCCTTCCCCTCCCCTCCTGCCCAGGCCACAAGAGCCAGCGCCGTGGGCTCTGTGACAGGGGTACATCCAGCACCTACCCTGAAGGTGCCAAACTAGGGCAACCGAACTTACACAGCGTGCGGCTCCTTGAACCTCCCAACCTGCTGGATCTGGTACATTAAGTCCCCGCCATTCACCTTCTCCATCACAAAATACAAGCGATCCTAAAGAAAAAAAAGCAAACAATTAGCAGCAGAATTATTAGAGCAGGGAATCGGCAGGGGTCAGAAGCAAGGACCAAGGCAACTGACAGCTCTGGTCTATTTTTCCTGGCAACACAATTTTCACCCTCGCCCTCCCCAAGGCGTGCAGGGGGTGCTCCCGCCCGTACCGAGCCCGTAGGGCAGAGGTACCAACTCCTGGCCGATGCTCTGGAGCTCCGGCCTTGAGCTCTGCGCCCCTGTAGACAGAGCGGGTGGAGAAGGCAAGCGGAGAAATTCCTAGAACAGGTTTTTCTCTTCCCAAATCAGTGCGCTCTCACTCTCCACCGAGCCCGTTCCGCGGGGGTCTGAGCAGACGGCTCCTCGCTGGCGTTTCCCCGGCAGCGCACGGTGGGAGACACACGCGGGGCGGGGGCCGTCACGACAGGACCAGGCACCGCGCAGCCCCCCGCGCTCCCCAGCCCCGTCCGAGCGCGCGCTTCACCTTCACACGCGGTTAATTAATTAACTGCTAACAGCAGAACAGGTCAATGGTGGCTTTGAAGCCACTCAAACGCTCGCTAGCCTTCTGTGCTAGCCTTAGTCCCGCTAGACGTAAGCCCAAACGCTGCTAGGAAGGTGAGAAGGTGTGGGCTTCAACCCTGAGGAGAGCCACAAGGCAAGAAATGAGTCCCCAGCACCCCCACAAAGCGCGGGACTGTGGATTAGTAGAGCCAAAGCAGCCGGATCTCTTCACGCCGCGTCCCGAACGGAGCTCTAGCACGAGCCCTGCAAGTCCCAGGAGACACAAGCGGGAGCTCCACACCAGCGACACCGTTACCCTGGGGAACCCGGGCCCTCGCGACGCCGCTTTCCTCTGATGGTTCACAGCTCTTTTTTCTGAATGGGAAATTGCTGTGAAGAAAATTGTGCAAGGCTGCCAAAACCCCCAACCTAAACCTGCCAAGAGCGCAGGGTGTTTCTGGGGGGGAAGCGATGGCTCCGGACACCGGCGTGCACGCAGGGGTGGGACCCGGGCTGCGCACGAGCGGA